GGGCGGGGGGGGGGGGGGTCTGGTCGCCCGCGCACGCGCACTTGGAGCCGCAGAGCCTAATTCTCAAATGGTCTGGTTTGGGGCGAGAAACCTTGGGAGGAGTTTTTAATCTCAGTTTTAGTTGACTTCAGTAGTTCCCAATTAAGAACTTTTTTTTCTTTCCCCTGGTTCATAAGTTTTGTATTTTGGATATTGTGGTTTCTGCCCAGCCGAAGGCCTATTGTCAATGAAATATTTTAACAAGCAGTTTGGGAAGTTCTCCAGAGTGCAGGGACCGTTTTAGTCTGATGATTAGTGTAGTGGTTCCGATCCAACTGCCAAGGAAAAAAGAAATCTTCAAACTGGAAATAAATATCTATAAAATTTAGCATACCCATTTCCTTAATAATTACATTAAGCCTGCTTGAAAATTACATAATATTAAAAAACAATACATAAGATTTTCCCACTTCCCCAAGATGCCCTCATTAATTCAAATACTGATTGAGTCCCTGCTATGTGTGGGTTATAGTCTAGTCACTGGGGACCTAGCAGCGAACAATAAAGAAAAAAACTTGATTGGAAAGTGGACATAGTTAATTATATATTAAATATTTACAAACACTAAAGCATTAAAATCTTTTCTAATTTCTTAAAGTAAAAACATTGCTAATATAGGTAAATATTACGCAATGAAATATGGGGTGGATCTTGATAGTAGTACTATATAATATTTTGTTAATTCATGTACATATGTATTAATAAAGTAAACCAGTATGTTCTGTAAATGGTTAATACTAGTATGCTCTCTATATAGTTTAAAAAGAAAAACAAATATGAAGCTATACATATGTTCTTTCTGTTTGGCCGATTCAATTTCTTTTTTCTTTTTTTTTTGTGAGGTTTTTGCTACAGGTGCATGCACTTGCCAGAAAGACAGAGAGAGAGAGACAGACAGAAAGCGAGAAATCACCCTCCAGGGAGGATGGCCACGCCACAATCCCTTCTCCTCCATTCTCCTCTCGTGATCTTGGGCATGCACACACATGTGCCTAGCATGAGTTTAAGACACCGGGACTTGAACCACTGTGGACTACATGGGAGTCCAGCGACATGGCCATTATGCCAACTGCTGGTCCCCTGATACAATTTTTAATAAATGATTTATTCATTCCATGAGCTTTTTGAGGAACCATCTTCTACTATACAGTATATGGTCACCGTATAATATGGCAGCCACTAGCCATATGTGGTCACTTAAATTTAAATAAATTTAAATAAAATAAATGGTTACATTTTAACTGCTCAACAGTCACCTGTGGCTATATTGGAGATCACAGATACGTATCTTTTCCATCATTACAGGAAGTCTTTGTACAAGTGTATGCTAGATTACTTATAAGAGGAGCTAAATGATAAATATCAGTGAAAAAAAAATCACATACATTGAAAAGCTGCCATAATAAAAATATGTTAGCACCAGGGAGGAAGGAAATATTTTAACGTGGAGAGTCTGGGAAGACCTCTCAGAGGAGAGGACCTTTGACTTGAATCTTATAAGAAAGTATTTTAAACTGGTTAAGACACAGGTTTTGGAGGACTGGTTCTAATTTTCATTAATTATGTAACTTTGGAATAGTTATTTAACCATTTCTTAACTTGTAAAACATGGCAATAAATAGATAAATCTCACAGGGTTTTATGATTATTGAGTTTAAAAAAAAAAAAGTCAAATATAAATGTAAAGAACCTATGGACTGACTGGTGCAGTGGCCAAGTGCTGTGTATTGGGTGCTGGATCCCACATGGATGATCATGGTTAGAATCCCAGTCCAGCAGCTTACACAACACGTATGTGTGCATATGCATGCTCAAAATCCTGGCGGGTTGGAAAAATGGGAGAAAGGGATTTAGGCATGATAAGGCTTTAGTGGGGTTTCTCTCTCTCTTTCTCTCTCTCTCTCTCTCTCTCTCTCTTTCTATACATGCCGTCTGGCAATTAAAACATAAATAAACAAACTAGTGAAGAGTCTAGAACAGTGTGTAGCACAGTGGGTTGAGTAAGTGTAAATTATTGTTTCTAAGGAGATCATGGAAATCTGTTGAATGAAGAGGGGTGGCGCAGTTCCACACAGAAAAGGTTATGTGAACATAAGCATAGAGATGTGAACTTTTCATGAGTTTCAAAAAATAACCCACTAAGATGAAAGAAAGTATTTAGGCATTAGCATGAGGACTACCCAAGACTTGTGTAATAATGGCTAGAAAAGTAGGTTAGGCCTATACAATAGACTAGTCTTACTCATGCACAGTCTTGCTAAGAAGTTAATTTTTTTTTCCCCCACAATAAATGTACCAACTGATAAGCAAAGATGTCTCTGTTACAAACTCACCCTTCTATCCTTTGCAGTGCTGGAGTTGGAACTTTGCAATGTGATTTCTCCTTTGCTAGGCACAGGGTAACTTCTGCCAATAGGGGGAACTAGAGAGAAACCAGGAGAAAAAAGGAAGAGGGGAGGATTTGCTCTTTCCCCTTTGCTTGCCGTTCATAGTTGTGTTGCCACAGCAATAAAGCTTTACCTGGCAGTGGCCATTGGTTCCAGCCTCCAACTGTGTTTAGCACTCCTGGAGCAGGTTTTATCATATTCCTTCCGAAGTTTTAAAAGTCACTCAGATATGGTTCTTCTTAGGAGTTTGAGACCCAGATTTTGCTCCGAGACCCCTCTGCTGAGCTCCTGAAGCATCAGCACCATCTGTGTGCAGCCCATCCTCAGACGTCCATCTAGGACTGCAGGGCTTTTCCTCCAAGTCTCAGGTTCTTATAATGACTTCCTCCACAGAGGTGGTAATTGCTTCTTGAAGCATCTATCTCAGTGTTAATTTGTTAATGCCATTTTAGTTTTCCAGTTCTTCAACATCTGTTTAACCAGTTCCTTATATAAAATTCTCGTTCATGAATGCGTGGTGCTACTTCTGCTTTCCTGAACGATACATTGCTTGGTACTTGGGCTGAGGTTTTTCTCTAACACTCT